TCGCGTCAATCGTGAATTCAATTAACGTCGACACGTGCATGTTGACTATACAAAGGGTTACTACTACAAGAATGTATTCACCAAATGTGTTTACATATAAAAAAGGTCTTTTGATAAGAAACATTAATTAAAAAGAAACAGAGACATTAATTTAAGTACATTAAAATATCAAAATTATTGTCAAGTTTATTCTGTATTGAATAAATATGTATTTTTGCATTGCAAACAACGTTTACGTCAATTAAAACCGCAAAAAAACGTTTTTGTCATTCAATGTTGATTTTTGCACAAATTCCACGGAATTGCACAAAATTCCAATTTCAATTGCAATTTTTATTAACCGTATGTTGTGGCATTGCATTCCGGTGCGCAGCGGCGAGTTGTAAAAACATTTCACAAATCGCCCTGACAAATCTCTTCTCAAGCCATAAAAGTACTTCAAAGATGCGGAGATCTAGGAACAATTCTTTTCTTGAGTATGAAGTAGTGAAGCACAATGCATCAGTGCGACGCGATGCTATCTGGAGCTAGTAACTCATTTCTCGATGCTGGTATTTGTTTTTGCGCAAACGTATTTTTGCTGCTTGTAGCGGTGACTTAGCCATCACCATCAATTTATTTCCGAAAAGTGAGCAACATTCAAGTCAACAGACATAGAAGATAAAGTTTGCTGGCAATAAAGTTGTACCTACGGAAATTATCTCAAATATGTTTTCTTCTAGGATAGATAAAATTAATAGATAAAATGAAACGATTTTTGAACACTTTTAGCTGATTAAGGCAAAAATGCAAAAATTTTCTAAAAAAATATTTTCGTGCATTTTCAATTTAATAATATTCTGTTATTTTCATCGGAAAGAAACCTAACAAACAAAAAATAATTAAAATTGTTCCAGCTAATTAAGAGTTATAAATAGCCACCAATTTTTGTATAAAGATAAATAAACCCTTCATAATTTCTTATAATGCTTAAATAATCTGATTACTTTTTCTAACTAGACGTCCAATTTTTGTGAAACTGAAACAATATGTGTTTCGTCCCATTTTGAAAACTAGCAGATGCGCAAACAAAAACTATAGCATAGCAACGCGAAATAATAGCACATCAAGCAGTGCTACAAAGACGTGCTCTCAGCACGTCGCCGTCGACGCACAAGAATGGAAAAACAAAAGACAATAACAAAACCGAATGATGCCCTCACATCGCCCTAGCGCGCCCGTGCGCGCAGGCATAAAGGGTGCATAATACTAAAACTACTTTCTCACCCGCTTGCGCACGTTACCGAGGTCTATTACAATGGGAGCGATGAGCACAGGGTGGTTTGACGCGCAGTCACGTCGCCGAGACACCAATTTCGGAAATAAGCCACACGTGTAACATTATCATTACTCTTTCAGGACAGAATTCATCAGAAATACATTACGATGGCTTCGCAACGCCACCTGAAAGTCTGCAAACCTTACAACATACGTGTTGTTGCCGTCTACACTCTGTGAAAGTGAGTTGGAAGCAGCGTAGGAGTAGATGATGTCTGCGCTAGAGCAGAGCAAGCAATTCCTGACGGGGTTCGGGAGTGTTGTGCAAATGTTATCCGAGGGCGGCAAGTTTTCGAACAAGGCGAAAGGGCTTCTTCTTCCCGATGCTGCTGGGATGTTCTCCGGAGGTTGTTCGAGAAGTGTTTCTTTTCGTAGTTCATCTGGATGTCGGGTTGTTTGTTTTCCAAGCAGTCAGGGACGTCAGGAAGAATTCTTGTTGAGACGAGAAGATGGATATTAAAATAGTAAAAACTTTTCTTCAGTGTTTAATAAAATAAGGTTTAACAAAAATCAATCTCTACTTTGACCCTTTGATGCGTTTTGTTTTATGTTTTGTTTTAATGAAATTTTCTCAACTAGAGAGCTAATTAGTTTGAAAATTAATTAAGAAAATCTATTGTCGCCGGCTGCATTCAGATTCTGGTTTCCGCCTCACATTTAGCTTTCCAGTGGTGTAGTGTGGGTTGCAGCGCATCGCTTATATTTAGCGTAGCAGGAACGCAAGACACCGAACGCAAATGCCCCAGCTCTCATCAACCAGGATAATAATTATGCATGCAACCGCTATAAATCTTCCCGACTCGACATTTAAGCGAACGCAATCCGTCCTGCCCTTTAAACATTAACGTCGTGGTGCGCAAATCTTCGGCTGCAGCGTTTCAGATAAACATTGCATCCACGATGCGGTAATGAATAATTTTCATTGATGCAATATATTGCGTAAATACAAGCGCTGCAGCAACTTTAATTGCAAAAAGTCAGTTGTAATACTAATGAAAATCATAAAATTTTTAATTAATGTGTAAAAGTCCGTTAATCACTCAACTTTACCAATAGTTAATTATAAAATAGATTAAATTAATGTATGCATTATATAGAAAGCAATTATAAATTCATTTTCTGCAACACAGAACAAAACGGCACCCTGCCAGTGCAATTTCTATCGTAAATTATAATTTAGAAAAGCAATAAGCGCACAGGTAACATAATTTAACACGTAGCATAACACCTTTTCTGGAAGTAAATTAAACAAGTTGATATTTACGCTCATAAATTTCTGTAGGAACTTTTAATTTCAAAGGCTTATTGTGAATATATTGTTAAACTTCAATTTTAAATGATTACTGTAATAAATTACGTCGAACAAATTGTCGAAGTCGAGCTATCAGTTGCAGCAATCGTTTGTAAAATATGTTGCGAGCGTGAAACACTAGTTTTTGTAATGCATTGTTAATTTTGATAGTGTGCTAGCGGCGAGTTCGATATTATCGGCTGTCATGCAAAAAAAGTAATTATTCATTGCCTCTATCGATGTGGTTCGAGTTGATTATTTATGGTTTCATTATAAAAATACTTAATATGGACAAGCAAATGGATAGAACTACTATGGCTGAAACAAATAAAGTGATTAAGTACATGCAAAAATATATTTTTAAAGTATATTGCAGTCAAAATGTTTTTTTTTAAGAAATAAAGCTAAGTTTACACATTATTTTGATAATTGCGCCCTCTGTAACTAAATTTCAAACCAGAAAAAAATGGCTGCAGATTTAGTTCTATTCAGCTACCAAACGCGGCGCTGTAGTTGAATTACCGCACGCAGTAAAAAATAATAAAAATTTTGTTATTTTGATAAAACATTAAAATAAAATAAACCAATAATTATTTTATTACAATTCCAGTAATTGGATATAATTTAATGAAAACTGTATGAAAACAAAGCCTAAAATTCTTGAAAGCATCCTGAAAATGTATTCAAAAACAAACCAACGCCATAAACATACATCTGATAATAATTTATAATAGTATTTCTTCACATATTTATTCACTTACATCTGTTTTCTTTGGGGAATATGTTGTTACATTACAATGAAGGAAATGAAGGTGAAGGCTGTGCTCACAGGACTACACACAGACCCGCGAACAAAGCGCAACATGGAGCTAGGTAGGATAATGTAATGAACATGTTTTGACGATTCTTTTGATTCCGCTTCGCGTTACAATAAACGCACACAATTTGAAAAAAAAACAGACAGCCAACAACAAACAACTTGATAACATGATACATCCTCTGCTGGCATGTTGATAAAAAAGAAGTGCGAGGGAGTTCGATGGGAGACACTGAAAGCAACGAGCAATGCGATCGTTGCACAAACTATTGTTCCAGTTGGATTCAGTCATGAACAAAACATTTCACGAGTTTGATTCTATCTGTTTGATGATTCGTTGTGCGGTTAGTATTTATTAGGCTTGTTTTTTAGTCGAAAATAAAGTCAAAATGAGCAATATTATGAGTTTTGTTTGGCACATGTAAAGTATAAGGGTCTAGAAATTAACAAAACTTTAAAAACGAACGTTTTAGACCCTTATTCTACACTTGTGACACATTTGGTCACCCAAAGTAAAAATATTTGTCGTTTTAGCACCATTTTTAATATTTTGATGATTATTGAAGATGAATATTATTAATGACATTCGATTTACGTGTAGATTTTTGTTATCAAATGTTTTGCTCCTCAAGTAAGGACGATTAGCGACAAACACACGCCACAATGCGCCAAAACGACAAACATTAATGGGCTAACGCGGCGAATTCGTTTATTATTATGACGATCATCATCGCAGACGTCATCCATTCGCGTCGAGCACGCTGCTGACATTCCGATACAATTTTATTTATAGCACGGAAATAACATCGATCGCTGCCGAATGATTTATAACCGAGAGTTGTACGTTTTCCAGTTTTTTTTTTACTTTCGCCGGGGCGTCGTCTTCTTTGCGTCCTCATTCGCGCTGGAACACTGCGGACGTATTAACACTTTAACCCTTCCGGTTATCAATCATTCTGCATGAACATATTTCAACGCAAACGATTCGATACTCGACAAGAAAGAGTAACCGACGACCGACGATTTCCTATGACATCGAAGCTGTGACGTTCGTTAAAACAATCTGAATGTAATAACATGTAATAAATATAACAGACGATCCTTCCTTCGGTTTTCCTCGTATGATTTTCTAAACGTGTTCAATCGGGCAATCTTCGACGCTTCAACGCTGACCTGGCACTTGGGGAGTTGCTCTAATCGAAAATACCGTTTTCGCTTTGTAAACATTTGGGTAGCTGCCCGGGTGTTTCGGTAGCGACTTCGGCATCGACAATAACATAAGCTACGCTTGGTACGACTGCCTTCTCATCAGTATCCATGGATTTATTTTTTGTTTTTTTGCTTTTAAACGTACCAGTGCCTGTGCACCTCACCTCATCCCCATTGGCGCATAGAGAAGTGTCTTCAAACGCAACACGTTTTTTCTTCTTTGGTACAGTGTTGGTGTTGATATTGGTGTGATTACAGAGCATCTCCTCCATGAGTTGTTTGTGTGGATAGTGCGCGAGTTCAACCTCGACGAGCAGACGGTGTGCGCCGCAGCCGTCGGCCGGCGTGCCCGCATCCACCATCCCTTTGGCCTCGATTGCGGTAAAGTGTTGATGCGTCGTCGATGGCGCCGATTGCGACGTGTGTCGGGCTTCAGGCTGCGCCGATATGTGGGCCAGTCTATAAGCTACACGCTGCTGGACAGCATGCCGGCGCTGTACACTCAGATCCGAAATGAGCCGGCCTTCACCCGAGACGCGCAAAAACTCAAACAGAAACAGAGCAGCAGGAGGAGGACGGCGGCGGCCAGCAGGTACACCGACCACGACAGTTGACACGTGCCTGGAACAAATAATAAATCATCATTGAATTAATAATCTAGTTCTACATCTTTATAGATATAATTTATATTTATAATATAAAAATGAATCGCAAAATCTGTTGGTAAGCGCATAACTCAACAACACTTAGATCAATTTGGCCAATTCTTTTTTTTAAATGTTTGTTAAAGTTCAAGGATGGTTTTTACGGCGAGAAAAATTCGAATAATTCTTGGGAAAACCCTAAAAACAGCCCTTTTCTATAGGATAAAAGTTGGCTTTTAGATTCAATCAGTTATAGTCAAATAGTTGAATCCTAGATGGTGCGCTGGAGTGCATTATTAGCAATTCTTTATATAATTAATTTCTTTAAAATAAAATTGCAAATCTTATTGATAGAATTGACACATACACTATATACTACATGTAATATGTCAAGAACAAAAGAGTAAAAACGAATTACATTTTTATTAAACACTACCAGGACGAAGTCGCGGGTAAAAGCTAGTAATCTATGTAAAACAGAGTTGATTTTGTTACACCATTTATAACTCAACAATGGCTGAGCAGATTTTGATGATCTATGAGTTTTTGGATTTGCAACAACCACGAATAGTGGAATAAATATAATTATCTCAAAAATTATTATTCAAAAGGTGTTAAATAAAAGATTTAATTGGTATAAAGATTTAATCATAGTTATAGTTGAAAAATTGAATACGAGATGGCGCTAAAGTGCATTATTAGCAATTCGTAGTTCTTAAAACTGAAATTGTAAATTATATTAATGAAATTGACACCTACTACGTCTTGGACAAGAAAAAAAAATCATAATTTCAGTTTTACAAAGTTTTACAGTTTTTTCCGCAGGAAAAAGCAAGTATAATATAATAACAATGTCCAAAATAAGATATTAGGGTAAAATTTTCTCTCCCCCCTTTGAGAATAATGGTAACTACAGCTTAAGCATCCCTTTCAAGCACCCAAAAACCCAAGGAGGCGGCGAATCGAGACGTAGCCGGCCCACTCAAGTGTGTTAATATAGTCCTAAAGCTCGCTGATCCACGAAAGCTCTTTAAAGAACGCTCCTCGCTCCACATCTACACTCACGCCTTGAGGCGCAAAGACAATAGCGAATTATGTCTAGATGACGACCTTCACGCCATTGACGACGTTGACATATCACCAATTTATAATTGCCAAGCGGAAATGCGAATTAATTGATGGCTTTCAAGAATTATTTATCGTCATCCCGAAAAGTTTCCGGGTTACAAAAGGGCTGCGATGCTGGAAGATGATTATGGATAGTGTGTAAATCCGTTGAATAAATATTTCATCGCGTGGGCGTATAAATGATGGGCGTTATCAGTAGCGCTCGCATGCAAAGGCGCAAAGGATAATTGGGTGGTGTGGAAATCTCGATAATCCGATTCACTGATCAAATATCCAGATCCGGAGAAGAAGCGTTGTTGCGCCCTTCGTTCTATAGTTACCACTTTAATCTGCGCGCCGTTGCGTTGATGTTTTGTTAGGCGATTTAAAGTGGAAATCAACTTGGAGCTATTTGACTATACGGGTATGAAAGGATACAGGGCTATAATGAGTTCTCGGGGCGATACACATCGTGAACCCCAAAGCTCGACATTGATTCATTCTATAGTTTCTTACTTCTTTGATAAGGTAAAATGGGAATTTATACAAATAAAAAATTCTTATTTGTGAGTTGCAAGATGGTTGAAAAGAGTTATTCTGAAAGTCGAATTCCCAGTTTGGGCATAACATGCGCGATTATCCATCATCATAACGGGCGGATCATGCATGGAATACCATGGTGGGTACTGACCTAGTCGATAGATATGGCTTGCATTCCCGCAGGACTCTCGCATCTCTCGGTTATCCCATCCCACTGGATAAACGGCGGCGCCGGCGATAACAAGCAGCGCTGCAACAGGAGAATAAACTTCGATAACAAACAATTCGAATTTGTCCCGCGAGCGGCATACATTTTTAATGAGTAAATTGCGCAATGTTGGTTTTTCATGACTTCATACAATTTTCATGGTATTGTATTTCAGGTTCTTTTTTAGGATTTTAATTGCATTTTTTTATTCGATATTTAATATATAAAAATGAATCGAAAAATCTGTTAGCAAGCGCATAACTCAATAACGCCTAGACCAATTTGGCCAATTCTTTTTTTTAAATGTTTGGTAAAGTCCTAGGATGGTTTTTACGGCGAGAAAAATTTAAATAATTGCCGGGAAAACCCTATAGACAGCCCTTTTCTATAAAATAAAAGTTGGCATTGAGAATCAATCATAGTTATAGTTAAATAGTAGAACCCGAGATGGCGCTCTGAAGTGCATTATTAGCACTTCTTTATATAATTAATTTCGTTAAAAAAAATTGCGTATATTATCGATCGAATTGACACATACTATGTCTATAACCAGAGAGTATAAACGAATTATGTACATTTTTATTAAACACTATAACGACGAAGTCCCGGACAAAAGCTAGTATACAATAAAAGAAACATTTTTGACAAAATTGCATTTTGTTCTGTTTGAAAGCCAACTTTAATCCAAATCATTCACAATTACAACTGTTTGTTGTTTCAACTAAAAAAATATATTCAAGAGCACTCTGTAAATAATTGTGAACTAAAATTGATGAAAATACTGAAAATTAGCGTCGATCGCAAGCTTTTGTGCTATTTGTAAATTGAAAAATAAAACGAGCACACCCACACACGCCCCTACACACAAAGTTCGACTAAATGCGGCGCGCCGATGATTGCGAATCGTGGAACATAGTGTTGAGGGTGTCAGCATCACGTAACGAGAACAAATGCTCTTTGATCTTTGGGCACGCAGAACAGCGCGGCCGCCTTTTAACACTTTTAACCCAGTGCCGGCACGGGAAAAAAGCCATCACGCGCACACTGGGGGCTTTAGCTCGCACTAACGACGCGGGCGCTGGGCACGACTCTAATTTACAATTTCCATTCGCGCCGCGGGCAAAAAACAATTTTTGCTCGCCGGCCGTTTGATCGACATACATTGCTCCATATTTTAGCGGATTAACTTCAGAATTACTGAAAGTTTTGTTGTTGATCCGCGCTTTTTTTGTTTTGTTTTATTTATCCATAGCAAATGTGTTAGTGTTGTGAATAACAATGGGTTTTGTTCTCTTCGAAGTTATCTGATTAGTGCTCGATCGATGGCGCATCAGTGCATCCCACCAGAGTCTCTAGAATATAGGTTATGTGAAGTGATGCAAGTTGCGGGTGGTGAGCAATCTTGAGCGCACTTCCTTTGTGTCGTAAACTTAAATCCTATCTTGGCAAATTTAATCGCTGGAAACATACCACCACGCCGCTGTTGTGTATTTATCGTTAAAGCTCAATTTAATTTCAAATAAAATTTTATAGTTTTGTGGTTTTTAATAATAACAATTAATTAATACAAAAATACTTTTATCTTGTTAAATTTTTCGTCAAAAGCCATGTTTGAGTTGGTTTGTAATTACAAACAATCTTTTGTTAGATTATTTGTATACAAAGCAAGGCAGAATATTGCGGCAAAAAATTTAATTAACCAAGAATAAATTTCAAAAGTTTAGTGAACAGATGCGCAAAAATCCACGCGGAGTAATTATAATTTGATTTATAACAAAGCCTTTCTATTCCGTGTCAAGGCAGCAATGAAAGGAAGTTTTTTTTTTTGCAAAAAAAAGAAGCAAAATACTGAATTTGTATCTTTTAGCTCTCCGAAAGCATTTCAAGCTGGGAAAATGCATCTGACTTCTGCTCACAAGTTACCCAAAAAAAAATAAATACACAAACCAGTAAATAAACATCCTAGAGTAGACGCAGTCTCTGCGTTGGTTTTTTTGAATGGCATGCAGAACGCAATTTCGCTAATGAGCTGTTCGTTGGACTTACTTTTCAGCAGCCCAACACCCCAACATCGTTGGCACGTACTATTGTTATATATGCCCACCTCGGACGTCGCGCAAATAGGAGTGAAATTTTATTGTGCGCACTTTAATTTGCATAATAATATTAATTTAAATGCTCTTTCAACGTCGCGGTTTGCACTGTGCCGTGGCATATCATTCTCACCGAGTGTTAACGAAGTAAACAAAAACAAACCAAATAAACGACACCCACACCGAACTCAGACGCTGCTTCGTTGCCGGCGGTCGACAAGAACGAAAACAACAACAAAAAAAAAGACCATACAAACAACCATTTCGCAGTGCGGTGCTATCTTCGTCGATTCATTTGCTCGAGCGCCACTTTGTTTCGTGTTTGTTTTTAATTTTTCCACCACGGCGTAAAGTTCGCAACATTCGCGAAAAGTGAAGTTGCGTCCGACGCGGCGAAACAATTACGGCGTGTAAATTTACGTGCGCTCGCAATTAATTAAACGAAATATAAATTTCAGACGGTATATGAAAATTTTCAAAATGTGAGCGCAAAGGCAAAGTGGAAAGTTGGAACAGCAATCACACGCCTGTTCACTTTAATTTAATGCTGATTATTCTTTAATTAACTTTTATTAAACACCGTTAAATTACCTGGCTATAATTTAGCATCACCTTTTAATTTCGGATTATTATTTAATTAAATTCGAATTATTTTTATGCAAAAAATTCGAAATTATTTTTTTTATCAAATATAATTTAATAATGTTGATAAAAATATAAATATAAATAAAATTTTTTATGTTCCGAAACAATATTGTCTATTTTTGCTTTGATTTTAACGTTTTTAGTTGATTTCAAGCAATTTTTTGTTTTAATTTAAAAATGCATTTAAAAAAAACGTAAAATAAATAAAAAAGCAAAAAATAAATGAGTTTTGCAAGGCACTGTTATTTTTTGCGGCCTTTGGGCCGTTGACCATGAGACTAAACAAATATATACTTATGATCTTTGATTCCAAGTTGGAACTTTGAACAAACAAGCCGGCTTGCATGAGTTTTAATAAAGTTTACGTGCCTCAATCGCTGCCAAAGTTTTCGCCACTTAACGCCTTCTCGGCGACGAAAAAGACCTGACGGAAAAGCTGTGCAAGAAGCTATTACTTTGGTCGCCTTTACGGGCGCGCGCGCGCGCCAATAAAGTCTGTTATAAACGCGATGAATTGTCGCGCGAGAGGGCGACAGGGATGGTTTCGGGTGTGCTTCGCCCGCTATCGTTAAGAGCATCTCGGCGTTGCGCGTTTACGACATAAAGGAATTCCTCCACGGGCAAATAGATAGATATGCATAATATAGCGTTCCGGATGGAGCGGAATGGCGTGGAATAGCCGATATGTGAATGTTTTATAAAGCTTTTTCTTTCATCCGGGGCGCGGACTCGCTAACGGCTTTACGGGCCCCTGGAATCTCTCCGGCGGGGATTCAGCCGTAACGAAGCCCACGACGCCGAGGGCAAGCTGAAAAGGTGAACGCAAGCATGCATTATTACACTACCTGAATGTATTCACCAAACCCTAAACTCATCCTCAACCAACAAGTTCAAAACCAAGAAAATTTCCGTCCAAAATCCGGAAATTGAAAAGAAGAAAAAACTCGTCAATTTCACTCCGGTGGCGGTAAAGTCATGACCGCCATGTTGCTTGATCCAACCTCAAAACACACACTGCGGCCATTTAAAGTCACCGTCTTCATTTTTGTACTCCTGGATTTAGTTTAAGAGTAGTTTTAGAACAAAAATGTTTTTTTGCAGTCCGCTTGGTTAGCCCACGGGATTAAATTACAATTTTCCGTTATTCGTTGCTATCGCATACGAGTTGTTTCGCCCGCGGCTCCTCGAAATTCGATTGTGCGAAGGCTAAGTAGAAAACTTCCCGCGGGCCGAGAGATGCACCGGGTCTATTCGACGAAATAATACGTTCGTGCCTCGAATACATTATCCTTTTATATTAAGATTTCGTTCCGAAGGCAGGCGGCAGCGCCTGTTGACATTTATTTAAGTTGAAAATCGATCGTTACATCTGTTCCGACGGAAGACTCTTGAATATACATTTTCCTACTGCGAAACTTGAAACTTGAACTCGTGAACTTTGTGTCTGGTTCGAATGAATAAATTGTCTTTTGGCCTTGCTTCCAAAGTAGTTATATTAGTTTTGGGAAGTTCTACATTGTGACAATCCAACATTTAATATAATTTAATATTCGAAGGTTATTATCACGTAAAAACAAACGAAAAATATTTACCTGACGTGGCTGGTGTGGGGATTAAACGTGAGCAAAGACAAATGTGCGGTGCCAAACGTAATAAACATTAAACGCATTCCAAGCAAAGAACCCGCCCGAATCGCAAAGCGTGTAAGGAATTCATTTCGTCCTTTCTTTTCCCTGAGGCGACGCAAGGAGCGAGTCAATAAAGTGAGCGCTTAGTTAATGCGACATTAAAACCGCGTTTATTGTTTCTCCGCGGTTTATTTCGTACCTTTTTGGCCTTTTTTATGCTTTCAGCCACACAAAGCAGCAAGTTTTCAATTATTTAACTCGTTGTAGTTTTACTACAGTGCTAACCAATCCGCTTGGGGTCCTAGCGAGCATTAAAGCTTTTTTTCGTAAAAAAGTCTTCGTAAAATGATTCATTAACGAGTATTTACAGAGTCAAAGTGGGGGAAAACTCTGTAAAAATAAAATAAAATAAACTCAAATTTAACATTGTCACACTTAAAAAAAAAATAAAAAGCCCTAAAACCTTTTTATTTGTACTTAAAATAATTTTGAATTTCAACAGGTTAGTGAAAATACACTATAAAAATCAAAAATAAAATATAGATATAATTATAAATGAATCTATTACCTTCCTTCAAGTTGAAAAACAAAATTTATTTTCACCGCACGAAAAAATAAAAAAAGAAAGACGTCGGAATATAAATTAGATTCGCTGTTGGTTATATTTTCTCGTTTCTTATATTCTTGATATTCTTTCCGGGCTTAGGGGGCGATTCTCCCCGGAGGGATGGGTCGAGTTTGAGTTCGAGTTTGAAAGTTGCTTCGGGTTCGGATGGCGAGAAGAGATACGGCGGCGGAGCACGCAGGAAGAAAAAAGGCTTTGGCAAAGCCGGGCCGCGATACACCCGTATTGAAAAGGTAGCAGGCGGATGGATAGACTGAAATCGACTCGGCACTCGGCATCCAGAAAGAAGGCGGAAAATTGCTCGACGCAACGATCTTATAAAATTATTCGCTCAGCGCCGCTTTTGATCTCATCGTCATTTCGAGGCACGTGCAACCGATAACGCGCCAGATTTATATCTTTGTTAGTTGAGCGGTGACAAAACGCTCGTTTCGCTGGGTTTACTTGAACAGTCAATAGTTATTTATGAGGCAGAAAAATCAAAATCATCCGTAAGCGATAAAATTTACAATTTGATTGTGTATTGAATGTAATATAGTTTAATTTATTCTTGGTTTTGACGAGTTTTGAATGAGAATGAAGCCGAAATTAATTGGCGATTAGTTTTTCTTCAACAGAGCCTGACTAGAGGTGGCTTAAAGCGGTAATTGCGAGCGCCAGTTGCGTCGGGGCACACGATCGAGGCGCAATCATATTTGTCACGAGGGTCAGCCAATTTAACAAGGGGATGATTAATTCGCTCGTCGGCCACCGGCTAGTATCCAGCGTAAAGTTCCGCCCGAGCTTTCTCGTCCCCTTTTATTAAAGGCAAATTTCATGCACGCTATTTGCACGTAAACGCAAACTAATCTGAATACTAATTAATGCGACTCGAATTCGGAATTTGAAATGATTTCAGCAATTACAGATTTGCGTATAATGTAATCCGACATTTTCGATTCAATTAAATAGTATTAGCTACATAATGTGCATTAATTTGATTTAATTTGTTATTAATACTAACAGTGTGTGTAAGCATAGTAAATTGTTAAAGTTTGTTTTGAGAAGCTGAGCTGTGTGAAATTGAGATCACGACACTTGAAAATACAGCGTGCGACGTCTCGAAGGAAAGCGTTTAGACTTAGAATAGCAAGTGTATCATGTGCTATGTTCCATGGAGGTTGTTTGTGCACCAACCTGCGAGAAGTTGGAGAGCGCCGGCGATGCGTGCCGTGCCGGTGTGCACGACGTACGTGATGCAGCATGCCGCCGTCGCAGTCACCGCCACCAGTAGGCTTAGGGCACTGCCGGTGCCCACTAGGACTGTACTCGCCTGCCACCACGGTGAGGGGATATCCCAGAATCTGTAACAACAGTTTACAACTTAGACACATAAGACTCAAAACATCTAAATCGAAAATAAATACGTTTATAGAATAAAATTAGTTATTCAGGTAAATTTTGTAAAATTACATAAAAAAATGTTTTAAATTGAATTAATTAATCTAAAATATAAAAGTGAATCGCAAAATTTGTTAGTAAGCGCATAACTCAACAACGCCTAAACCAATTTGGCCAATTCTTTTTTTAAAATGTTCGTTAGAGTCCTAGGATGGTTTTTACGGCGAGAAAAAAACCTTTTCAATAGGATAAAAATTGGCATTGAGATTTAATCATAGTTATAGTTAAATAGTTGAATCCGAGATGGCGCGCTGAAGTGCATTATTTTGAATTTTTTATATAATTAATTTCTTTAAAATAAAATTGCAAATCTTATTGATAGAATTGACACCTACTATGTCAAGAACAAGAGAGAATAACGAATTACATTTTTATTAAGCAACTCATTAACCTCAACTGAAGGATTTATTGTTTTCTTTAAAGTTTTATTTCATTTTTGAGAAATTGATGATTACTTTATCAAGTTTATTTTATATATAGCATATATCTGGAATTATTTATTGAATAATTTATTTTTTGATACAATAAAAAACTCAAATTCAATTTGTAAATAACCATAAATCAATGTCACGCCTCCACACGCAACGGTTTTAATTATCGAAGTGTTTCGTGTAGAGCGTCAGGTGAAAAACAGCGGAAAGCTTCGGCAAGCTTCACAAAGCTCCATGTTTTCAAACGCGTTCAAGCGCACCATCGACGGACTAATTGCCAGCGTCGTTATTTTTAATCTGCTTTAAACAGACACATTCAATTCAGCCACCTCTTTTCCCCCTTTCCAACTTGTCGCCTTTCACACTCCACCAATATCGCAAATTTATTCGAATTACCTCGAATATACTTTAAAACTAATTGAACGTTGTCTAATTAATTAGACAAGCAATTATATAATGTGAAAGGTTCATAAATATTTGAACAAAAAGTGCAGCTGAAAAGGGGTAAACACAATTCTTGCTTGGTTTCTGTGTATATTTGTGGTTTTCTGTGAAGGGTAAACGCAAACAATGGAAAAAGTTAAAAGATATTCTTCCCGCTGGTGGTGGTGGTGAGCGTCAAAGCCGCAAATTGCATAAATAATCCCTAATGTGTTTTTTCATCCCAGTGGTGATGGTGGAGGCGCCGGGTTCATCTCGCTGGCGCGCGCGCAAAGTCCATTAGCGGGGCGCAAAGTATTTAAGTTTATACAAAAGCGGCGAGCGACATTAACGAGTTGCCTGCGTCCGCATGAAGCCGTCTTCCGGCCGCACTTCAAACCCGCCGTGTCAAAATATATCGCCGGCTCCTTAAAGGACTTAGTCCGGAAAATTGTATAATAAACGCCTTCGTAATAACAAACTGACAATGATATTAATCAGGCGTGTTTTGTTCGCGTAACGCAACGTAAATATTGAATTTCCGGAAACAATTTAACTTTAAATGAAGAATAGGCGTTGAAAAATTTTAAAGATATAAATTTTAACTGAATAGTTTAAAGAAATTAAGCTGTAAGCACATGTTTTCCGGTTTGCAAGTAAAGCTCCCTGTGGTTTAACAGCTTTGATGTTTGAGGGCGACGACGGGCGTCGTAAATGGAGCAATCGAGTTGCCCGATCGCGTTTTATAGCCGCGTGCAGCAAGCGGAAAACACGTGGCCCACAACACCACCAAACGCCACAAATTAAGCCATCGTCAAATGAATGTACGAACATAAACCACTCGGATGCTGCGCGGAAAACATAATTCTCATTATCAATCAGTCTGTTCTTCTACGTACTCAAATTTCACCACACAGCAACAAAGTTAGCAAGAAACTAGAATCATACAACTCCTTAGTGAATTGGATAATTTGTAATTCTTCCGGGAACACACGGTTTGCGCGTATATATCAACGTCTTGTCGACGATGCTCTTGTCGCTCGGCGGCGCTGATGGTTCATTAACCGACTCACGGCTCGGCGCACTAATTACACATACTCGAGATTGATACGCTGCCGTTTTCGTTAGTTCCGCGTTTTAATCCGGACCGCCAAACAATACGAGGCACTGCCAGGGGACGAAAGTTTAATGTAACTCTCGAGCAACACCGCAACTACTTACGACAGTTTCGGGCTTTGTCCGTGTGCAATTCATTAAATGTTGACGATTACTCACGCGATCGTCGAGCTGAACCGGATACCACCAGCAGGCACACAACAAGCCTACGCAGACATTTGATCTTTGTATGGTTTCATTAAGGTATTTCATCAAATAATTACAATGAATTTTTGTTTTCGCGTATTTCACACCAGTGGAAATGTCGGGTTTAAATCGGAACAATTGCGATTAATTGTGGACGGCTCCCGGTAATACAAGTGATGTGTTTGGATGTTCATTGGTGCTATCAGCGACGTGCAGATGATTAGATTAACGCGACGTCCGATGCGTTCAATGCTATCGCTACTACGTTGCATCTGCATTATTCACAACATGGTTGAAATTGCAATATTCAATGCCTCTCTAATCTTCAGCTTATTCGCATGGAAATTAAAACTACCAATTGCTGCAAACTACAAAGTAAAAAATACAAAATTTAGTTTTTTATATTTTTTTATTTCTGGGAATGTAAACTAACTCACAATTAGCTCAAATTGAGTTTTTTTAAATTTTTTTTTGTTTTTCCCGCTTTTAAATGATGACGCCGATACATGTTGCGCCATCTGGTGTTGTATTATATAACCATAGTTATATATAAATCTCCATATAAACTTTAAATCCTTATTTTACACCATAAACGTAATATTTTTGTGTTTAAATATACCCTATTTACTTTTCCTTAGTCAAAAATATGTCCATGCCAAATTTTATCAAAATTGATTCAGTGAATTTTGTGTAAAAGCGACACAAACAAACAAATTCACATTTAATTCAAATTTAAATTTTTATATTTTTTATTATCCCCACTTTGAGTTGATGACGTAGACGATTAAAAAATTGAAGTACATAAGTATCTACTTCATAGCATCATTAAAACCCAGCGTAACATTAAAATTCCCTCGAACACTTTTGAAGTATCACTTTGAAACTAATGCCGCTCGTGTTCAGACAACGACCGAACGTGCTCTCCACCGTACAGATGAAAGATACGCTGACGAAGATGGCGGATTAAAACTTGATGAATGTGTCTTCCGAACTCGTGTCGCCGATAACGTTAAGTTTCATCAAGCGCTCACGATGCAGCGCGATTGCGGAATGCACGCAAACGCGAGAGGCGGCAACGCACCACCGACATAGATTTACGACGGACGTTACGATTTTCTACATTTCCTCAGCTCAGCACTGTTTCGTGGACTTTTTACACCTTCACATTCACATTACAAGAGACTCCCACTTACACTACACAAGTTTAAGCCAAACAGCGCTTCGTATTTTTCATTCTACAAAATGTAAAAAATAAAAAAAAAAGAAGCGGCGTTGAAAACCACGGAATATGCACGTCTGTACATGTTGCGCATTATTCTCACTGACACTCTCAACTTGGGAGCGTAAGTTAATCTTGACAGGAGAATTTGTTCTTTTTTTTTCCCTTCGCGAATCGCAAAGATTTCGAAGCCAACGAAATAGTATTTGATGCATGTCGAAGTGCCGTGCGCGCGTGGAAAAGGTCCTGTGGGCTATTCCCTCAACCTCAGGATGTTTGAGCGGTTGAAACCGGGGCCCGAAGAGTTTCGAAATGTTCGAATGTGGGCGCACGTGAGTTATGAACGCGGTCGATGGCGGTTCCAAGCTCGCGATCTTCGCATTACTTCGTGCATCTACTTGCCTGCCGCCGCCATAAATTACGCAACTGCCGAATATTTCATTCCCTTTTTAACCCGACAACTCACGATGCAAAAGCAGGAGACTCTGTTTGCACGCCACCACGATTAAAACAACCGCTGGGAAATTCTTCATTCTTCATGCAACCAAAAGTCTTTCATTCTACAATTGCTTAAGGAACAAAACTAAAATATTTCAAACTTTACAAGTCGGAATTTTGATTAAACTCCGGCAATATATAAGTATTCCACGGTTAAATTCCGGTAAATTTTATTTTTCGACGCTAAAACAAGATTTTCGTCGCTAAAATTAAATTTTTTACGTCAACACTTTATATTTTATTTTATTCCGAGCGATGCTTGTAGAACACTTGCCGGATACAAGCACAATAACGTCTACATTTTATTACTGCGTATTTTATTTGCTTCATAACTAAATTCCAGCTCTACAAAGCGTATAAATGTAGCGAATTGCGGAAATCTTCGTTTACTTGCCGTGCGCTAACTTAATGCGGTATTAAAATTCAGCGAACGTAATTGGTTTTGTTTTGCGCGGTGGTGCGCGGTTTTCCCATCCGCATTGCACTTCACAACTATTTCAGGCTACAATCAGCAAAATTCATATTGCGCCAAAGTCAACATAACTGTAATACAACAACATTGATTACGTTTCGGCACAATTTCACACAATCAATAATCTATATGATTGCAAAGTGTGTATGCTGATACATTTAAATATTTGTATTGCTGATTAATTATATTAATTTCACAAGTCTATAATCGAGTTTTGATCCAAATAAAAACAATGTATATACGAATATGAGGAGTTAAATTCACTAGTATATAGATTTAAATAAAATTATACAATTGTAATAATAATTGGTTTTTCGAGCACTTTCAATAAAAAAAAATGAAAAAAAAATAGAATATCAATAATTAAATATAAATAAATAATTAAAATTCTGTTGGTAAGCGCATAACTCAACAACACTTAAACCAATTTGGCCAATTTTTCTTTTTAAATGTTCGTTAAAGTCCAGGGATGGTTTCTACAGCGAGAAAATTTCGAATAATTGCCGGAAAACCCTTATGACAGCTCTTTTCTATAGGATAATAGTTGGCATTGACATTCAA